ATATAATACTAATATATATATATATATATAATACTAATATATATACACATATATATATAGACACACACACATATACATTTATGTATATATATATATATATGTAGCTATATTATCTTTAACATCTTTATGCTAAAAACAAGATATGTGACCCTGGAGCACAAAACCAGTCTTAAAGGAACACTCCACTATTTTTGAAAATAGGCTCATTTTCCAACTCCTCTAGAGTTAAACAGTTGAATTTTACCGTTTTCGAATCCATTCAGCCGATCTCCGGGTCTGGCGGTAGCACTTTTAGCTGCAGCTTAGCATAGATCATTGAATCTGATTAGACCGTTAGCATCTCGCTCAAAAATGACCAAAGAGTTTCTATATTTTTCCTATTTAAAACTTGACTCTTCTGTAATTAGATCGTGTACTAAGACCGACGGAAAATGAAAAAACTCAACTGTTTACCTCTAGGGGAGATGGAAAATGAGCCTATTTTCAAAAATAGTGGAGTGTTCCTTTAAGTCGCTGGGGTATATTTGTAGCAATAGCCAAAAATACATTGTATGGGTCAAAATTATAGATTTTTCTTTTATGCCAAAAATCATTAGGATATTAAGTAAAGATCATGTTCCATGAAGATATTTAGTACATTTCCTACTGCAAATATATTAAAACTTAATTTTTGATTAGTAATATGCATTGAACTTCATTTGGACAGCCTTAAAGGTGATTTTCTCAGTATTTAGATTTTTTTGCCCCCTCAGATTCCAGATTTTCAAATAGTTGTATCTCGGCCAAATATTGTTCTATTCCTAACAAACCATACATCAATGGAAAGCTTATTTATTTAGCTTTCAGATGATGTATAAATCTCAATTTCGCAAAATTTACCCTTATGACTGGTTTTGTGGTCCAGGGTCACATATATTCTTTGCAAAGACATCTTTAAATCTCACACAATTTTACTTTTTAAGGATGATTAGGTAATTCTCCTGAAAAAATTAGGCAAAAAAACATTGCGTTTCTTGTTTTGGGGGGGAGCAGCACCATGTTTTCCTGATGACTCAGATCTGAACGTCTGATCTTGATTTGCTCATGTAAACAGCTATCTTGGATTACTGGCTTTCCATGATACAATCAGATGCCCCATTAGAGTCGGTCACTGATATCCCAAATGAACTCATCTGGTCCCTTTTCCCACTCAAACATCAACTTCATCCCTGATTCTAGTCTGCGTTGTTTGTTAAGAGCATTGTGAATTTTAAAATGCAGTCTGAAACTCTAGATGCCCTCCCTTCGCAGCTTTTCGTAGCACGCTGTGGAAAAACACAAGAAGGCAATCTGTTTCTGTAAAGGGACAAAAACCACATTCTGGCGTGAAGCAAATAAAAATGCTAAAGGAGGCACAGGCAGCTTTACAGCATGTACATCAGTCGACAAAAAGGCACTGTATTTATCCATAGCCATGTGGTCAGACATCACCGTTAGAAATCAATTTCACCTGGACGTGCCCCAAGCGCAGGACTGCCGTGTTGCATGCCATGCGCCCACATTCACTCCAGAAACATGTTTTTAGTTACAAAAACCATAATCTCAAACTTACATCTATTTTATCACAAATGATATCTCGTTAATATCTTAAATTGTTTCTCCCAGACAGTAATGAGATTAAATGAAAGTCAGATGAAGAAAAAGAGCCAGTCATTTCACACGTGTTTTCTCAAAATGAGCAACCAAAAGTTAGTGACTGCAAAAAAAACACAAATGTTTTCTTGTGAGAGCAAATTATTTCAGATATCCAGATTAGTTTTATAGCTCTATGCGCTAGTTTTATTTTAACATTGTCTGCATTTGTGTCCATTTTTATTTCTTTAAAGTAATTTTAGGAGAAACATCAGAGACACAACTGAGAATGAAATCTCCTGAGCTATGAAAGAGCAATACAATCTTCCTCAGGGCTCAAACAAGTCCAGCAATGCAAGCTTAGCACATTTGCTAACAGCTAAATGCTTCAAAAACAGCCTTTCTTAAGTACTCAAGGTTGTTAATGTGGTCTCTTTTTTTCTCTCTCGTGCACAAGGATTCTCAAATCCACTCCTCAACATGGTGGAAACATCTCGATCGATAACCTTTTAGCGAAAGGGAAAGGGTATTAACCTCTGAATTGGTATGGATTTTTGCCCGTCTCCGAATTATAGTCTTCACACAGAGTTTTCTGAGTGTTAACAGGATTTATAAAACATCTGAAGGCTAAACTTTCCCAAACAGGAAAATTCTGTCATTTCCTCACCCTCAAATTGGAATGACTTCCTTTCTGTTGTGGAACATAAGATAAAATATATTTTGAAAAATGCCAGTGTTTTTTTTTTTCATGCACAGAACATCAAAAGAGTTGTTTTGGACCCCACCAAGTTTCAAAATACATTATTTTGTCTTCCTCAGAAAAAAGTAAGTCATACAGACTTGGCACGACACAAGGATGACAGAAGTTTCATTTTTAGCTGACCTGTCCCTTTAATTCATTATCTGTTACCCACCCACTGTATCCATAACAAAACATGCCAAATGCTTCCCAGATCAAGGCAGTGTAAATAAGCAGTATTCCCATTGTGAAAACGGATGTAAGCTCCAGCCTTTGTGGGCTCTGACCAGGTCAAACCGACGACGTATTCATGTGTGTTGTTTTTGGGGGCGAGGAGACTGTGCTAAAATAGCTGAGTTTGAGTTTTAAAGCTGGCACTGAAAGTGGAAAAGAGAAATGGAGGGGTAAAACATAGCTACTGTACCATGATAAGTCCTATCGCTTGCTCAAGGCACTGAAACAAGAACAAAACTTTACTGACACTTTTGACTTCTAGTGTACCCTTGTCCCCCCTCCCTTCTCTTCCCCTCCCCTCCCCTCCCCTCCCTAGTAATCCTGCTCATCTGTCAGACAGGAAATTAATTTTCTTTTCTGGCCGTCTCAGAACAAAAGGCCTTTTGGTTTGCTTGCCTTTCTCTGAACCGTGTCCGTTATAAAATTCCTCTGCGGTTGTTTTTCCAAATACTGACTATATGAGGTCCTTGAAGAGTCCTGGATTTGCCAGATAGAATCACATACACTCACACACACAATCCAATGCAAAACTCCTTCAGCACACTGTACACTGTGTAAAATTCCCAAGAAATCGAGCTCGGGTCTTTGCGTCCTTCATATCAGGTGCTGCACCCCTGTTCTAAATCATTAGCGGCTACAACTGATGGAGGGCTGACAGCGAAAGAGGCCGAGCAGGTGTCTTGTCTCTCTAGTCCATCCAGCACACATATTACGCACACACACACACATGCAGACGGACACATTCTCGACCTCTCCTGTCTGTGCTTTCTTCCTATCCTGATTCACAGCTGCCGGTTCTAGCTAGCAGACGCAGGTTCAAGTTCCACTCCGTAAAAAAGCTTGCGCATTGCTACGGGCGAATGACGTGCGACAGTGGCGGAGGTGAACTCCTCTTTCGTCGTGGTGTCCAGTTGCCGCCGCTGGCCCACTTCTTCGGCGTCACAGGAATGCAGGAGACTGACAGCGGCATTGACGGCAGCAGAGGCTCTGCGAGAGGCTCGCAGCTAGTGTTAAGTGTCCTGTTTTTGTGTGGGTGTGTGTGCAGGAGTGTGTGTCCCTCTCCAAGCTTGTTTTGATACCAGACACCTGCTGAGCAACGGTAAACTGCATGCGTGACTCTGGTGAACCCTCATGCCAGCCTTGTGCCGTATTTTCCACGGGATTCTCAGAGAGGACCTGTCCTTCGCGACTTGTCCACCACGGATACCTGAGCGGACGGAGATCTCGTTTTTTTGGGGGGGTGTTCTCTCACAAGGGACACTGATCGGAGCTGAAGGAACCTCCTTCATTCTTTTTCCTGCGCTTCTTCTTGTGGACCGTCCAGCAAGTGGTCGCCATCAGTACCAGGACCAGCCCCACGATCAACAGGATCACAGAAACCACCTTGGTCTGCGGGAGATCGTTGTACGTGTACGTCACTCCAGTTCCAGCCACTCCGATCACCAGTGAGATTATTCCAAATGGAAAGATGCAGCGGTACCAAGACTTCTCCATCCCTCCCGTGGCTTGCGAGAGCCGCTCTAGGGACAACAGCACCTCTGGGACTTTGGGTGCTCCTTCTTGCGACTGGCCTTCCAGGGTTGGGGCCGCCGTCGTCTGCGGTTGACAAGTGAAGTGCCCCGTGGTGCATCCCATCTTGCGACTGGATGCTGGGAACACAACAATAAAGATGTGCTCAGTATGAGCGAGACGCTCTGGGAGGAAAGGCAATTTAGGGAAGGAAACGTGGAGATCCACTCACAATGTCTGTGGGTTTGTCAGTGCCACGGCTCTCTGTCTCTCGAGCTCACAGCAGCACGTTGAACACTCGAGCAGACAGAATGAACGCTGCTATATATGTGGCCAGAAGGAGGGGTGGAGTTGAGCTGCAGAGGGGGCAGCCCGGAGCTCCTGATTGGCTGCAGCTGCACTCTGACGTAAAATGCCATAGTATAAGACTGGGCAGCGGAGTGCAAACAGGAAGGAGTTCGAGGAGGAGGGGTGGAGTTAACCATTCAAGCACCGTTCACTAAAATCCACCCACTCCTTCTCCGTTCTCCTGCTTGTAAGAGAATGAGTGCATGCATCCTATAGAGGGGATGCCGGGATGGGAAAGCGACTATTTTACTGCTCATTAAATAAGGAGATTGTTTTATTCAGTAACGCAGCCACGGGAGCATGTGGTGCAGCATTTATTCATTCAACCCGACAGCATGGCAAAACGCATGCCAGCAGATAACTGATGAATCAAGAGACTCCGCTCATGCATTTGTGCCTACTGCGCACCCACGCACTTTTGGCCTCCCACACCGCACTAACACAAAACAATGCCAAATGCTTAATAAACGGGCTCTGAGCGGATGTCCATTTTTAATCCTATCGAGTCCTTTCCCCGTCACGGATTGTGCACTGGAGAAAAAATCAATTTGAAGGAGAGTGAGAGAGAGATCCTACGCGCTCACGGCAGTGCCAATGTAATTTATCACCCGGTCTCATCTATCACGTGAAATCATTTCTCCATTTACAGCGAGGCAGTATTGATAAACAATAAGGTGTGAAGATTTGTGATTATTTCAATAGGGGATGACAACAAAGGGTGAACCGCACAAGTCACACACTCCTCCTCGGGTAATTTTGAATTGGTTAAAAAATCAATTTGCATTGTAAATGGCTCTAATACCATGTCCTAACAGAAGGCTTTCAAGGGGAACTAATGCGTCCGTCAACACTATGAGTAAAAATTAAGCACAACATGATAAAATCAGCCAATCACAATGTACTTAAGCAGGATTTAGAATTTGCTGTGGATGCAAACCCTGCATGACTCCGCAGAAATCAAAACCAGGTGACTGGAAATTTTCTGGTTTGGACAGAAACTCAGATTAACATGGAAATGCATCATGTTTCACTTTATCTCACTGTGCCTGGTTAGTGTTCCTGTAACTCAAACTAAAGAGCATGGTGTTCAAAAAAACATGGTCAAGGGTCTAGACCGGAACTAAGGTCGTGCAAATTTCCAAACTTTTTGAAACTGACTCCCTTTCAGCTCACGAGTTGGAATTTTAAGTGAATTAGATACAACACATTTTGAGATTGTGGAATCTGAAATGAAATCTATCTATCTGTTTGTCTGTCTGTTTAAATAACTTCAATTAATTTTAATTCTACTTCCTTACATTCAAATTTGAATTGGAGTTCTGCATCCTGTTTGCTACCCTCAAATCAAATGCAGGCGTTTGTTTGGAATTTAGAATGCACAGAACGCACAACCCTGACAGGAATGAGCAGTAGCACCCAAGGCATACATTGTGTATATTACAGCTATACATCATATCTTCATCCATTCGCAATATAGCACAGTCTCTCACCTTATTGATTAAATAAGGCTTAAAGGCTCAATCATTGATCACTATGTCTTTGTTAGTCAGACATTACTGATGCCGTCGGTTGTAGAAAACCTAATCCATTCTGCTCGTGCCATCAATTAAAGACAACAAAGCCTGAAAAGACCATAATGACGGTGAGGTGAAACCAATTGAGGAGCGTAAACACAGGGTTAACTGATGTCTGGTGACTCAACACTCGCTGAAGTAGCCCCACACCAGCACGGACATACTGTAGAGAGAAATCAAGATATAGGAGAGAAAGAGACTGGGTGGGAAAGATGGATAATAAAGAGAGGGGGTGGCAAATGAGTGAGACAAGCAGACAGAAATTGTGACCACTGAAGGACTGCATTCAGTAATGTTTTTCTCCTGCTAATTTGTGGCGAGCTGTTCATTTACTACTCTGCTAGTACTGTTGGTTTATGTCGCAAGATAAAATCATCTGCATCTGCCGCAGACAATTTCAGCTCAACAAGTTGTTTAAATGAATGGGAAACCCATTTACAGTAATATACTCCCCGTCTCTTACGTCACAGCTCAGAAAAGTTGCTAGCGATGAGTCTGGGACTGTAATCGAAGACCTCCAGTCACGTATTAAGGCCTCCTTGTGCAGTTCCTACACCAAAAAAAGTACAATTTCATACACTTTTCAGTTTAAGAAACTTATATTGTGAATAATTAATACCAGTTCACTAAAATAAAGCTTTACCTCCCATTCAGTTGCTTGCTAGCTCCCATCCTAAGCAAACTGTCAATGCATTTCCTGTTTGTTTTTACCAAATAACTGATGGAAATCAACAGTGTGCAATCTATACATAGACTTCAAGTTGAACATAAAATATTCCTCTAATAGCATCTTTACAGGAGAGAAAATATAAAAGTAATATAAATCGGATCATAAAAATTTGATCATTGATTTGCACTAAATACACAAATAAAACTACAAAACTATATAATTTAGACACTTTAATGCTCAATTAAAAAAGTTATATAAAATACAGCATCATTAAGCATATGTACTGCAAATGTTTTTCTTGTGCATTTTTACAAAATGACCATTTTCTTTCATAAATCAACAGTATGTAATCTATAAGCAGACTTAAAGTTGAAAACAACAAAATATTCTTATAATAGAATAATCTTCTACAGGAGATTTGTCACAAGATCCAGGGAAGACACACAAAAAGAACAAAAGCCTTTTGAACGTGTGCCAGCCTTTATTACGTCCACCAGATTTGAAGATTTGTCTCCATGGGTGGACAGGGCCATTTAATGATTATTATGTGACTTCACTGTTCCTTTTCCTGTACATTAGTGTTGTTTTTCCCAGGAAGGGTCAATGGTATTCCTGGGAAGCTTGGGATAAATGTTATTACTGGACTTACAGGGAACAGACTCTGTAAACCTGGGAATTCATGCTCTGACATTTTAATGATCCCAAACAGCTCACACACAACCTTTTCCTTTTTTGACAACACTGTTTATTCTGTTCTCTTCATTATTATTCCTTCCTTTCTCAAAGCATTGTAGGACAAGGAAGACCCCTGGGGCTTCACTGAATGAAGAATGAATGACATCCGCAGAATGTCCCTTTAAAACTGTTGGAAAGGCAAATGCGATGCACGGTAACTGCTTTAAAGTCAAGAGCTGATAAGAGCTGAAAGTCATGCATTTGTAATACTTCTTGGCTCATATGCTGCAATAATATTCTGCACAGAGTGCAGTCATTCTGTTAAATAGCAAAGAAAAATGAAAAGTCTGTCATAAATTACTCACCATTATAACATGTCATATCCGTATGACTTTCTTTTTCCTGTGGAACACAAAAGATGTCATGATGAATGTCTGAGCTTTTGTCAATTAAATAATGAAGCAAAAAAGCACTTAAAAATTATTTAAATTGTATTGAATAAAAACTAAATATATAATATATATGTAAAAAATGTCTTTATCTGCTGTTTGTCTCAATTATTGATCCTTGTGTTCTTAGTGTTCTTACACTTTTAGATACTCCCTGCCTTGTGTTGTACAATAAAATAAATCAAATCAAATCATATAAATCAGCAATCAGAGCATTTATCTAACACAAAAGCAGTGAGGATCTCAAACAGGTTGACAGCATTTGAATAGATCAATTTACACTAACTACCACCAATGAAACTTAAATAAACAAAGTAACTAATCAATCCCTGATTTTTAAATCTGATGGATGTTTCAATGTGCTTAAAACTCAGTGTTACATTATTTTGTACAGTAATTGTATTAAATATTACAACATAATTTTGTATATCCCCATAATAAAGTAAAACGAAGTAAAATAATATAAAATAAAATATGCTCTGGGTGTGTGTTCACGGTGTGTGTGTGTGTGTGTGCACTTGGATGGGTTAAACACAGAGCACAAATTCTGAGTATGGGTCACCATACTTGGCCACATGTCACTTCATTTTTTCACTCTTGTGCAGGTGACTTGTAGGGACTTAAATGAATTGCCAATTTGAAGTGGTTAATTTAAAGGGGTCATATGATGCGGTTTCAAGTTTTCCTTTCTCTTTGGAGTGTTACAAGCTGTTCGTGAATAGATAAGATCCCTAAAGGTGCAAAGACTAAAGTCTCAAACCCAAAGAGATATTCTTTATAAAAGTTAAGACTCGTGACACGCCCTCCTAAAATGGCTCGTTCTAACACGCCCCCACATATCTACCTCACTATGTGGGAAGATTTGCATAACGCCGCCTAAATGTTCACGCAAAGAAAGAAGGCGTAACTTTTATTCTCGCTGTGGTATTGTTACTGCCGCCGCCATGTCGTTGAGACGCTGTGTTTCGTTGTGAAAGCTAAACTACTTTGTTTGGTCTTCCAAAAGAGGACACAACTAGAAATAAGTGGTTAAGTTGTATTTACAACACTGTTCCAGAACAGTTCAACCCAAATATTCAGATGTGTGCAGCGCATTTTATGGAGGACTGTTTACTGATCCTGGAAGAGTAGACTACAATGCCGGCTGTTCTGACTCACAGACTGTAAGTACGTTTTCATATTTAACCCTTATATGCATACCTCGTGTCTTTAGCGATCCGGGACATCATTCTCTACCCTCTTCCATTTTTTTTTAAGTTAGACATCAACTTTCTTAGTATTCCTCAATCTATTAATTATAAACAATATAACATGAAAATAATAGTTAAATATAAAAGAATGTCTGTTTTCTGATTAATTTTTTGTAAAAAGTGTATAGGGTCGCTAGAGACCCGAGGTATGTAAATGTGTAAGTATTTTTTTCCTGCGCAACTATATTTACATATATTTGCTGCAGAAAAAGCATGTTGAAGCTCGTTTAAAGTTTGCTGCACAACATTTAGACAAATACTGGGAGAATATAGTCTGGTCCGATGAGACCAAAATTAAACTCTTTGGATGCCATAATACACACCA